GGGGGGGGGGGGGGGGGGAGGGGAAGGGGGAGGGGGGGGGGGGGGGGAGGCAAATATGCAATAGGACCAACGCATAGAAACGCATAGAAATGAGATCTATGATGATACATCATTACATGTTGTTAAACCTTATAAACACACGGAATACTGCAGCATTAGGTGAGCTGGTCAAACGCACGTCAAGATCACATCTATAAGTATAGGCAGCCGAAGTTGTTTAAAATAAAGTTGTTTAAAATATATTAGAATTATATGCAATGTGCTGCAGTGTGATTTTACAGAATTAGAAGGGAACGTTGAGGCCAAGGAAATGTTTTAATCTTAAATCTTAGGAACAGTATGGTTCAACCAAGGGGTTGGTGATGAAGAAACGTTTTTTTGAGATTAAGATTAAAATGAATTTGTACAACGCTGTCTAGACATTGATGTACAAAAATGGTACAGGTAATATCAAAAGAAGTAAATTGGATATATATATATATATATATATATATATATATATATATATATATATATATTAAACAAGGGAATTTTCATTTGTGAGATGATTGTGAGGACGTAAGAGAAAACTATTTACTCCAGCACAAACACGTATCAGATGGTCGAATTACACTCACTCATGGCGGGGACAGAAAGGCACAAATAACAGGACGGAAAAGAGTGTTTGGGTTGCTTCTCTTCTCACGTGTCCCTTGTGTGGGGTGGTCTAATAAGTAAACGCTCATATCACACCCGTTATAAGCAAGAGCTCTTTTTATCTCTTTGGTTAAAGCAACATAAACAAAATAAACCTATATGTTTTCATCAGAATAATGGACACAAAAGGAATTCATGTGCCACGTAGAACCGTTTTATTTCTGATACACGCAGAAAAAAAAAGATAAGAGCTGCCTACCATTTATACATTACCTGGATGATTTGAAATGATACGTACACCTGTTGCCATGCACTATGAATTATTGTCAACTGTAATATAAGCCCGCCTTTTGACAGAAAATAAACTCCTAGTCAAATACGTTATCAAATTTACAGGTTGTTCTATATCTATCGCTTAGTTCGCTTAGCTTAGCAGGCCCACGGCTTGGGTTGTAAAAAAAAAAAAAAAAAAAAAAAAAAAAAAAAACGCTAATTTGTCTTCAAGCACATTTGAAAAGGACTGTGCTTACACTGTGATACAGATTGTTGAGCAAATTGAACATTTTCAAACGAATCCTTGATAATGACAGCTAGTCATTCACTGCTGAGGTGAGTAAATATATACCGTTGCTGATACTTGAGCCAAATCCTGCGCCGCCTGGTTTTAAATTTAGAGTGTCGCAGCAAACAGATTTAAATTTACTCAATAAACAACGTTCGTGCACTTTTGTGTCCATTGCCGAAGGAATATAGTCGTTTAGATGTGCCAAACTCAGCTCTGGTAGCTTCTGAATTCATAAATGAAGGGAAGTAAATTATGTAGTAGACGGCTACAATGTATGTGACAAGTAGATGAAGGAAGGACTTGATATCTCTTAACGCCAGAGAAACTAAGGCGACCGAGTCCCGTCACCGGCATACATGTATGTTGTACATATATACAGCTCTGTGCTGCGTTCGGAGTGTGAGTATCCAGCTGTTGTTGTCAACGTAGTACTGTGTAATACGTATTGACAACAAGACGTCGTCCTGGCTGGCAGTGGCACTACACAAGACCAGGCGATAGATAAAGGACGGTGAACCACTGCGACACGTGTATCTGGGGAACAACAGGTGTCTGGGAGGACACGTGACGGTAGGTGTCTTTTTTAAAGAGAGACATGTCAGCTTTGATAGTCACGCACATTCTCGCACGGTAGCACATGTATTGGTAACTGCACCCCCAGCGAATTGTGATATGTTCGTATTACACTGTATCTAACGAAATACTGTGAATTAGAAAGTAAAGTGCAAGGAGAGGAAATTTGCAATCAACAAGCCAACACACAGAATATGCATACAGGGGCGGGTTAGGCCGTCTTCTGGGTCTTCCAGAAGACGGTCAGATTTTCAAGTTTACATTGACAGGTATCCAATTTGTCCTGTTGGAAGACCATCAAAAATGGAGGATGGATCAACAAAGATAATTTGAAAGACTATCAGAAAATATCTCTGGATCCACCACTAATGTTGCGTGATGTCTTGTAACGAGTGGCAGCAATCCGCATTGTTCCTAAAAAAGGTCATCATTTCATTTCTTTCTTCGCACTTTGTTTCGTCCAATATTCAAGGTTTTCACATCAGAATGTTTCTTTTCTGTTCTTCTGTTTATTTTCTTAACGCGAAATGACGCATGGCATATCTTTTAACGGGTCATCCGTGCGTTACGTACTTTCGGCGCTTGACTTTTAAAAAGAATTTTAAAAAAATCAATTTGACCCTAACCTTTTGACACTTGTAGTTGAGGAGATCACGATCACGTGTCAGTCTAATTTTCGTCAATTCTCGCATTTTCTTGTACTAAACACTAGTTTCAGAATCAGTGAAGGGGAAATGTATTAAGTACCAACTTCCCTCATTTACAACAACTGAACTGACATCTCAAAACACTGCCCTTCTTTCTAAAATGTCAAATGTTCATATTTGTTCTGAAAAGCTATTTTTATACATGTACAAAACATGTGAATGAAATGTTCTACATCGGTTAACAGGAATGGATGCCACCCAACTGCCTGGCACAAAGAAAGTGATGTCAATGAGTGTGCGTGCACTGCTGCCTACACGTACGTGCGCGCTTGCGCGTGTGCGCGTTACTGATAAAGTGCACTGCACATGACCAAACAGTTATGATAAACGTCTAGTGTTAAAACAGATGTTGTATATGCATGGGTATGTTTACTTGTATGTGTATTTGTGGTATGAACATAACTGTGTGTGCGTGTGTTCGTGTGTGTGTGTGTGTGTGTGTGTGTGTTTGTGTGTGTGTGTGTGAGAGAGAGAGAGAGAGAGAGAGAGAGAGAGAGACGGTTGTATTTGTGTGAACGCAAGCGCTATAAATGTGTCTTTGAGTAAAAGGGTGCAAATGTCAGGTGACACCATAAATTGCCTTATTTCTCCAATTTATCAGTTGGAAGGTATGGGCAGATATATTGGATACAAAATCGTAAGATACGAAAAAAACTTAAAGAGCACGATCATTTCTCTCAAGGCTTACGACTACTTGAGAGTTGAACAAGTCGACAAGATCAGTTTTGGGTATTACGGCTTCTTCGTGCCATTAAACAAATAATACGAACACAATGTTTACTTATATTATAAAGGAACAACTCAGCCTGTATTCGATTTCAACCAGCTATGAACGTATGTCCAAGTACTGGGGTAATGTGTGTCTATTAAATAATCCCTCCCCCAGCAAAAATCTCTTCCTCGTTGCTTTTAGCGTCTTTTAAGACGTTATAAGACGATTAAAATCATGGCATTAGCCCAGGTAGTATACGTGATTTCTGAAATCGAAAACTTTCTGCCAAGTTTTCTTTTCATGAAGTAGCAGAGCGCTATTTGCACAGCGCTTATCTCCCTGCGCTCACGTCATTCTAATGGATAGAGAGTAAATACTGCTGGGGACTACGCAATTTGATAGAAACTCTGTTATCGCAAATCTTTACAAAT